TGGTTAGGAAACTAGGCCAGAACTCAAGCAGCGTTTCAACCTGCAGTCAGTGCAGGAACAGATTTGATCAAAGTGCTCCCTCTGGAATATTACATAGCACATCTTTTACTTCTGTCAGCTGCTTGTGTTATAATCAGTCTGCCTAAGGATTATCTTTTAGCAGGTATAATGTCTTGCAAGGTGAGGCTTCTTCCCCTTCCCCTCAAGTATGTTTGCATCCCCCAGTGTTTACATCAAGGCTAGGAATGTCCTCTAGATTAAAGTGGAGATAAGAAAAGAGGCTTGAAAAGATGCAAGTCTAACATTGCAAATTATAAGCAGTCTTTAAAGAAGGAAAACATTCCCTCATGGTTAGATTATTGCCTGTGATCCTACAATTGTATTTCCTACACTTCTCAGAGGCATTTGATACTGGTCACCACCAGTACATTGGACAACATACCACTGGTCTAATTCAGCACAAAAATACACTTATTTCATGGCAGATACACTGAGCAATCCTGTACATTTTCATTATGCAATTGAGTTAAAAATAACCTTTTTTTTTTTTTTTTTTGCCCCCAGAAAAGTTCATTGCAGTTTATTTACCTTAAGCAACACTCTAATTTTACCATGGCAGGCAAGGATTGCGCTCCCTTGTCACCAGGGAGTGCCTGGTGCCTGCCTGGTTCCCTCTCTGAAGTCCTGCTGACTGATTAGCATGAGGTGACTTCAGCAAGTTTCCGAGGTTTTACTAACTTTCAAATATATTCCTGTTCCCCTGACCGAGGGATTAGCTCATTCTCCGGAGGTTTCCACTTTTAGATGGCTCTGAAACACTTCTGAAACATTCTCCAAGAAAAACAGGGCTGTCACTCCGAGAGGGAAGGTTGAAGGTGCACGGAGCTGAGGAACACCTGTGATCCCGTGTGGCACACGGCATGCCGAGGTATGTGAGCGTTTCTTTGGAATGAAGTTCAGCTGACTTCATCCTGCCAAAGTAAAGCTTCCTTTGCTGCTGTATAATATCTGCCTGTCCAATAAATCAAGCAGATCTTCATAGGATGCCCTCTGCACACCTGTTATGGGCTGGAAGCAGCTTTGCACGTCAAATGATGTCACTGGAAATTGTGAAGCGTGAGAACACCTCAGAGACTTGGGCATTTTGTGTTGCTAGCTAAAGGCAGTCTCTTCTGATTAAATAATTGAATTGGAAGGGCAGATTCTCGTGGCATCCAAGGTCTCTCAGCCAATTAATAATCAGGCCTAAGGATTCCAATTTTTTTTCCCACAATTGTACTTGCACACAAAGATTGAGCATTTGAGTACATGAACCCAGGAGAGGAAAAAATGATAAACAGGTTTACTTTTGGTTATTTAGACCTGAAATCTTCGGTCCTCCTGGGGAAGAGTGAAACGATTCCCCAGCACTAGTCCATGAAAACATGATTTCAAATTGCAGCCAGAACACGGAATGAAATGGACCCACATGAAAGAGCAATTAGAATTTTCTTAGTGTATTTTCAACACATATCATGCCCCTGAATCCCTTCTTCAGGGATCAGAAGTATCAAAATAGAGCAAGAGGCACTTCTTCCAGTATTCCTTTCCTGGCTGAAATCAGGAAGCAGTGGAAGTCTCAAAGGAAAGACCTTTTCCATCAGCAAACCTTTAACTGTGCTTCGAATAAGTGGAGAGTTTGGGGTAATTATCTATCCCCTGGCCAGATTTCCCCAGCAACCATTGAACTCCTCTGTTTCTGATCACTGCTGAACACCTACAGCTTATTTTTGCTTTCATCTAGGTGAGCATTTCTTACTTTTTCTCTAAACTTCTCAGAAAGCACAATATTCAGAAATGCTTGAGAAACTGAGGATCCTGACACTCCTGAAAAATGGGACCTAGGTGTTTGATAATTGATTTTTTGAAATGAAAAGCACTCAAAGATGAGCTTTTAAGGGTTTTTATCTCCTCTTTATGCAGATCAGTGCCTGGTGTGGTCTTCAGAAAGCAGCCAGGTAACTAAGCTCCTCCAGAAATGTTTTTGGTGCTGGTGAGTTTGTTCTGAAGTCAGAAGGAAATCTTCTGGAGAGTTATTTATATCAATAGCTATCACACCACTGAAGTCATCCGATCTAATCATCCCCAGAGAGCTGCAACAATGGGAATTATAAATAGCGAAAATATCCTGGATATCGGCTCCACTATTTTAAAAACACTGGTCAGAGAGAGCAGTAACTAAGAAGAAATCTCAGGACATAATGTATCAGACTTTATGCACATTTGTCACTGCCAACTGTTCTTCCCAAGGGCCAGCTACTTATTTCTGAGCTAAACCCATGGAATGTCACAAAGGTGTCACAATAGTCCGTATATTCTCCTCCTGCCTCCTGGTTTCTCCCCCATCATTTTATCCAAAGGAACAGCTAAGGGGATAACTGAGACTGTGTTGGTAGATGGCCTGGAAATGCAATAGAGTTCAAATCTGAAGTGCTTTCTGTACTAGAGCATGCTTTATTTCAATAATATATAAGCACGTTTTTAATTCTTTAGTGAAATGACACATCCCCTCTCTGATGAATACTGCCTGAGAAAAGCTGGGACATCTTAGTCCCTTCTCACAATACGGGTTTGTTTGGTTGGTATTTATTTACATTTAAAGTTTTGTAGAAAATAGTTCAGCCTCTTTTGGAACAAGCTTAGTGAAGGATGGTTTTGCCAAAATTCGTATTTTTCACCTGTTTTCTGAGGAGCCATCACGAGTTATAAGAGGAGCTTGAAATCTGGCAGCGAGACAACCCTCAAGTTCGAACGGTATCTTTGTCCCCGGGACAAAGTCCCTCCCTGATCAGCTGGGTTAAGAGTCACAGCAAAATCCCAGCTGGCATTTACAAGACAGAAAGGATTCCATTTTGATTTTCTGAGGGCTGCTGAGCCTCTTGTCCTGAGCAGGTACTGCACATTTGAAAGCACAGCTCGGGGCAGGTTTACCTTGACCAGAGCTCTTGTTTTCTCTCAGCAGAACTCTGACATCAACAAGAAAGGTATATTAAAAAAAAAAAGCTGACAAGAAAGAAAAAGCTAATTAGAAATTAGTGGGTATTAAAGACTCCTAACGTTATTAGACACCATTAGAGCCTTTTAAACTCAGCCTGTGTAATAATTTCCCTAGAATTTAAGGGCTTGTTCTCCAATTATTGTATCTGAGCTCTATTAATATTGGTGGAGTTACATTAGTTTGCCCTGACTAATAGTCTTTAGTTAAAGCAGCCAAGCAAACAAACCCACTTTATTAGCCGTGCTTTTAAAGTCATTCTCAAGTATCAACTGAAAGGCTTCTTCGGTACAAAAAACAAACCCCAAACACAAGACCCCAAAGCAGGGCACAGCCCTGAGCCGGCTGCGCATTCCAGATGGCGGGTCAACAGGAGTTTCACAAGGATACCCTCAGTCGCTGCTTCCTCACAGCGACCTCAGAGGGAGGGGAAAAAAGGGTTTGAAAAACATTCCAGATTTCAGCAGAGTTTTTGTAGCTGTGCAGACAGAGGAGTCACTAAAATGTCCGGAGGGGCAGCCTTAGCAAGCCTGTGACCTCCTGTGACAAACAGGACCGTGGAATTTCAGAAGGGATTTAGTCGGGATTGTTAAACATGTGCCAGAAAGAGAACTGCTTCTTGGACTTTTTCGATCAAGTAGCACTATATTTGGACTGGAAAGAGCCTGTGGATGAGCAGGAATAACCATTAGAAGGCAAGTGAAAAGTTTCAAGCAGACACTACAGTCAAGGAAGAAACAACTCGAACATATCTGGGCAAGTTTCCACACTGACTGAAGCGCCACTTTTTCCCATGACATCAGATTCCAAACAAACAATATGTTATAGCCCATATGTTGATTAAGGAAAACCCAAGCAGTGCAGAGGCATGCACCAGCCTTCTGAGCACCGACTGAGCAAGAGCTGGACCGCTTGCAAGCCATGGGAGTTATCCAAACAAACAGAGAGCCCCGAGTTTTCAGGATAAGGCGCCTGGGTAAGACTTCTCAGCGAGATGAGGTTGTGAACGCCGAGGTAAGACTGAAAGCAAACTGCCTGGATCGAAGCTGTGCAGCCTGACAGATGGCAGGGACAGGGAGTGGGCAGTGCTTTGGATGTACATTAGTGATCAGGGGGGGGATAACGTGCTCAGAGGAGTGAAGTTCTCTACCTGCCTGAAGTCATGTGGCGTTTGCATGACAAGCCTGGACTGCAGAAGGGTTTGCAGTCAGAGTTCAGAAGGGTTTTTGGCAGGTTTAACGAGTTCCCAGTAAGATGATGCTGAGGATAAACATGCAAGAGAAATATATAAACGCTGTTTTCACAAGAATAGTGCTGTTTTCTCAGAACTGGCTGTATTTTAGGGAGGAACGCTCGAGTGCAGTCCTCCCGGGATGCCAATACAATCCATCGAGAACAGTCAGTAAATCACTCCACTTACCAGCCTAAAATGACATGGAACATTTTAAAACTCCAAACAAAAATAAAACCTTGTTCTACAGGAAAGAGGTACTTGCTAAGCATAGCTGATTGATGCTGCTTACAAAAGAATTGGGAATTTAACTCTAAAATGGCCTGATAACAGTAATACTTACTGCACAAAGCTGAATTCCCTGAGATATTTTATCAGACCTTGAATTATCTGATCGGTTGATCCTGTGTAATGAGAAACAGGAGGCCACCTTTGATCTTTCTCCCAGAATTTAATAAGTCAAAATTAGACAGGAGCCCTGCCAAATGAGGACAAATTTGACTAGGAGGGTAGACTAGGCAAGTTGCTAAATTTTAATTGTGTTCTAACAAAATGATTCAAGCTCATAGGTTGAACAGGCACATCAAATCAGGAAATAAAATGTTGCATTATTGTCACTGTAAGATTAAAGTGGCAGAATGTATGTTTGTAGAGGTATTGAGGGAAAAACACTTTTGTTTATACAGTACTGAACACATTCACAAAAACAAAAGATACCTTTTTCCTTCAACAGACTTCAGAAAATGCAATTCTCTTAGAGATATTTCCTGTTTTAAATGACAGATATATTTAAAAGAGTTGTTTTCTAGTTTAGCACATCTGGTTTTATTCCCTTATGCTGTTTCCAAATACTTCAGTTAAGGAATGACTTCTGTTAGTGTCAAACTAACAAAACCAACACTGAGTGAAAGTTCCAGCTATGAAAAAAAAAAACCATCTCTGTAAACAAATGTGGCCACCATAATTCTTCACCATTCAACTTGGATCTCTGCAGCCATTTCCTTCAAGGTAGATTCTTGTCTATAGAGAATATTTAGGTAACAGCAGACTAAATTAATCCCAGGTACTGTTAAGAAAAGAAGCACTGAAATGTGTTGCTCCCAAGACAGCTGCCCCAGCATGCTGGGATCTGTCAAGAAGATCCTCAAGATCCTTAGAAACTAATGGTTAGCTCCCAGAGCTTCCTTGGACATGGGAATGCTTCTTTGGAACTCTAAACAGACAAAACAAGCAATAACACTGGGTGTTTAACAGCTTACCTTAGCTGACAGTTAACAGCAACTTGGCTTTCGCTCCTCACACCCATCCAGGAGGTTCATGAAATCCTAGAAGGAAAAAAAAAAGAAAGGAGAGTAGGTCTGGTAACCTTCACTAATCCTCAGGAAGTCATTAATGTTAAGCTGGGGACAACAAATAGGAGGTGCCTGACAATTATCAAGCACCACAGTTGTCTTTCAGCCCTTGCCCTTGATTTGAAGTGGAGGCTGGGCATTCCCTGCAGAAGGAAGAAGGGAGTGCAGCGGGACACGGCTGGGAAGAGACGTTCTGAACCTGATGGCAGGCACTTGTGTGCAAGACTAAGAGGTCAGTTAAGTTTCCAGCAGCACTCCACTTCTGGTCTTCCATGCTTCATTCCCCGTGTGCAGGCAAAGGGTGCAAAGGCAGAGGCAGACATGGAGCAGTGTAAAATTGCACCTACTGCACTGCAGGGGAAAAACTACCTTTGCAGACCTTCACAGTTATGATTAAATAACTAGGATCTTGATTAGGGTGGATATAAAGCACTGATCACTACTGAAAACACTTTGTGGGAGCTTTCTTTGTGTTCTTATTCCAAACTCAGGCAAGTAAGATCTGCTTATTGAACAGTCCCGTTGTTTAGATCATAGCAAGAATATTTTTCATTATTAATCAGCATTAATTAGCACGCAGTATCTGTTTCACCGGATGCATGTAGAGCAACATCTCTGTAACTTTGTTCTGCTTTCAGTAGTCATGCCACCAGCCACTGAAAGCCTTCAGCTACGCAGATCATAGTTTCCACATTTTACCCAACTGCTCTGTGAAACTTGCTTCAGTGTAACATGCCAGCACGGTTTTGACAGAAAAAAACCCAGATATTTTCTCATATAGTTTCTTAGTACACTTTATGCACACGATTGCTTTTAACACAGTTATTTGTTTTAGTATATGAAAAGCAACTGAAAGGTAGAGTAGATTCTCAGGAAGCACTGGGCAAACAAAAGTTCTGCTGGACTGACCCAGCTGCTGAACATGTCTTTTCAAAAGCCCTAAACCCATGTTAAGTGCTACAGCTTATTTTTCGTGCACCTCAGCAGTTCCTCGTTCTGGCTGGAAGCGGGAGCTGGGAAATGACTGCTCTTGCAGCATCCAGAGTTCGCCCATAGCCAACAAGTCCTGGAATTGTAACAGTGTATTCTTTGGGGTGTATTCAATATTACACTAAGTTTCCAAATGTTTCTTGGCTCTCCAGCCACTAAGTGGACCTTGAAGTTCCCGTTTTTATTCAGTGGCGGGGGGATAACCCCACCATCTGTTTTGACAAAGATTTTCCATTGCCTCTGCACAGCTGAGAGAACATGAGGCATGTCAGGGGAAGGTTGAGTTCTCTTTCTGAACCACCAAGAATTCTCTGAACCCTCAGAAATCTCATCAGAACACAGCTAAGCAGCTAATTGTTCATCTGTTTGTGATGGATTTTAGTTTGCCTCGAGCTTCAGGTCTTAAACCCTTCCTAGATCCCTATCACTTGCTCTCTGAGCATCTGCCTACTCTTTGTTCCTTTAGGTCAGAATTTTTTACTGAGTGGGGGAAAAAAAATGTATTAACCAGACACAACTGGTCTTGCAGAAATCTTCTCACAAGAATTTCAGGTACAGCTGCAAGATGCACCCGTTTAATATATAGTTTAATATTAAATGCTGAAAATGATTTTCTCTTTCAGTGCATTTAAACACACCAATTTCATTCCTCAAACACAGTTCTTCAAACTTGCCTTTCCTATTTGTCCTCACTTATAAGACTACATTGAGAGAAGAGAAAAAGAACCTAAGAAAATTAAAAAAACTGGTCCTATCACTAATTTTTAATCATTGTCAGATTAAGTGATAAATCTTTCCTTACAACAATGAAAGACTGACAAAATTACAGGTATCACCTAGGATTTACAAATTGCAACAACAGCAGTATTTTAAGACCTGAGACAGACCTAAAGAGGATTAATTCAAACTTCTCCTAGCATATCTGAAAATCTGCTATTTTTCAGAGATGTCATCTCAAATAGAAAAAAGAATGCAAGGAGTTCTGCACACATCGCATTTAGAAACTATTCCCTCATCTATGCGAGCAGGGACAACAACTCTGTTGATGTAAATGACAATAAAAGCAGCTGCTGATGTGTGGGTTTATTTGTGTTTAAAAAGGTGACCATGTAACAAGCAGTAAACACGGGAGGAGAAGGGGAGGGAAGCCCAGTGATAGGAACCATAAAGCATTTCAAGGGCAAAGCTGAGAAGGGATATTATTTGATCCATTTGAGTCCATCTGACATTTTTATATCCACATTTAACTAACAGGTCGTTAATATCCACGCAAATGTAAGCAAGGGTATTTTGAGCCGAGATGTCCTGTTCAAAGCAATAAAACCTTTATTCACACTCTGCTTGTACATCAAACATTTCATAACTTGGCAGCCCTGAGCCAGTCCAACTGCACCGAGCGGAATCAGTCGGCATCTGTTCCCAAAATTCTCGCGCTGCTATGGAAAACAGCAATTCTCATTAAAGATTTTTCCTCAGAGAAACCTGGCTGCACAGGAGGGGAAAAAATCAGATAGCAAGCTGCTTGTGACAGGGGCTTTTAATTTCCCCTTTTTGGCTTCTAAGGAGAAGAGGCCGAAGTCCTCCTGCACATTATAACTTCCTAAAGAGCCACAGGAGGATTTACTCGTCCAGGTTCTCCTAATTCAGTCCCGCCCCACTGTGAAACATTTTTAAATGCTGAGATCAGCAGATAGCAAGAACACATGTCAGGAGAGACGTGTTCTTTCTCATTCGGGAGAAGATACCAGAGATCACTCTTTGCAGTTTCTCAGAAAGTCTCAGCTTCCCACTGAAAACCAAGGTTGCTGCAACCGAGTTTCTTTGTGCAGACTGTGCTTCGTCATGTACCATACAAAACAGAATATAATAGAAAATAAAGTGGAGTAAAATATTATCCAAAATAGTATTTTTAATACGCTTTGCCATTTTCTTGTCAAATTTAAGAAGAAAACTTGGGTTTGAGACCTTTTTAAAAAAAAAAAAAACAAAAAAAACACAAACAGAATTATGCCTTCCCAACTTCAAATCAATTTGCTACGTGGCTTTAAGATTTTAAAGAGTATTTCTGTAAGGTTTTAGTTTAGGCTGAAATTGTGATTCTAACAAGAGATGCTCATAAGTCTAATAATGTCAGCGTTCCAAATGTATGCAATGAATAAATCCTCAAGATTTAATCCTCAAGATCTTTGAGGCCCTCATAGTTCTGATTTTAATAGGGTTTTTTTTATCCTATAAGCAATGCTATGGATGTGTTGTACTAGTGAGTCTCATCTTGAACTGGGCATTAACTGCTTAAGGCTTCTTTTTCATCTTTCCCATGCTAATGGAAGGATCCCACAGCATCTTAATCTCGTACAGCTGAATTGTCTGTTGGGAAAGTCACGGTGTTTTCAGTGGCAGGTACCATTTTAATACAGTTTTTTTCTTAAAATTAAACATTATTCCTTAAGGTCTCCAGCGAAATAAATAAATATATATGTTAGTATAAAATACACTCTATATGCACAGACTTATTTCAACCCAGTGCTACCAGCAATAACTCAGAGAAAAGGATGTGCAGGGAAGGAACTGATAGGAGACACAGCCCAGGCTTCGGGATGAGGGGCTGAATCAACAACATGACTAATGGTGTGAAATCTCAGCTGAGAACACATCTTTGCAAAGTGCCACTGCAAAAGTGACTGGTGAGAGCAGGAAAACTGATGATTTAACTTTGTCAAAAGCGTCTCTGAATGTAAATGCAAGCAGGGGGTGCGTTCAGCATCTACAGAAATCAAACTGGTGGTCTGGGCTTCGAGCAGTTGCTGCCCCTGGGTCAGGCTGTGGGCTGTGTGTACCCCCCAGAGCTCCAAAACAGGCTGGTTATGATTGTGGTCGTGGCCATTTAGTGCAGCAAATACTCCTCAAGGTCAGACACTTCAAAGGAGTGTGGAGACAGCTACGGCTATCAGAAAAGTCTGGCTGTAATTACGGGACTGCTGAAATAATTAACATCTACATCGGATTACTCTGGGTCCATGACATGTATCTTAATATTTCTTGAAGTGATGAGCTGTGTTTAACAAACTGAGCTTATCATCTGTGATTTCAGTTTTACTTGTAACCACTCTTGAAAGTTTAATTACTGCTGCCACTTGTATATGCATTTTACTCTGTGTTAAAAGCTAAATAAAACTGATTCGCTTCAGACTGTTCCTGGGGCTTTAAAAATGCAGTACCTCTTCCACTTTGCAGTCTAAAACGGCTTTAAGTCACCATGAATTTGTTGGTGTGTCAACGTCATCACTTAAATAATCTCACTAGCATTTACCTTCTGCCATGTAATATGTATGACACATTACCTGTCTTCTACTTTGCCAGCCTAAATACAACAAGTTTCCAACTATATAACAAGATCAAGCTGTCTTTAATAATTCATGTTTATGTTCTTCTCCCATTTTCAGTTCCCTGCCAGGTGCTCAGAATAAGTTTTGTAGGAAAGTCTGAGGCAGGGACTTTTTTTTGGTGTGGTACATGGCACAGTCTAACCAGATCACCAGTCCCACTCAGGAAGAAAAATGACACTCAGACTTCAGGATCTGATTGAAACTCTTGAATAAAGAATGACAGTGATAATTCAAAGGTGAAATTAAAGTCATCTCCTTCCCCCACAGAATTTAGTCATTCTGCCTCTGAAAACTGTTGTGTTTCCCCCACCCCATTTCTCTTACTGTTCTTTGAGACACATTCCTGCAGAAGAATATTCTGCACCGAGTGATGAGCTCACTTTAAAGGCTGCTTTCAACAAAATTTCCACATCCAGATGGCATATGAGTTATAACCTTCCATCACGGACTTAACAAGCCGTGGGCTGCTGTTAATTGTCACTTCCAGGTTTCAATGTTTATCAGCCACTAATAAAACCTGCTGTTCTTCTTAATAACAAATTGGAAAACTGCAATTTTTAAAGACACATTTTGCACCCTACTTTCCTTCTCCCTCCT